TTATTTATTTTTTCTATTACTTAATTATCTGGATACTTATATTTATTTTCTACTCAAAGCGCGTAAACGTTTTAATTATTCGTCTTTGCACATCTCGTGTTGGTTATCGTGCGAATGGATGTAGTTTTGCGAACATAATATGACTTGAGAGGGAAAAGAATTTTGGAAATTGTTAGTATAGAATTTCGTTTAATTTTCACATCACGATTACAAGTCAAACCCACTCCAAAAGAAAAAGAAAAGCAACTATAAATGAATGAATGAATGAATCATCGTTTTCCGAAAATGCGAAATTACAATAAAAAACCAAACCATCAAATATTTATTGTTATTTTATAAATTCTTCACAATAAGTCAATTAATAGAAATTTAACTAGTTGATAATTGTGACCAATAAGCCTTAAAGACATTATAATTTATATAATTTTAATGTAAATAACAATACTTTAAAAAAATCAATTTTTCATGATTATACAATATTTTCAAAAATATCTTATCTCGTGTCTTGCAAATAACACTCTTTACTTTCTTTCTTTACATTAACTTTGTTTGGTTTGATCTATGAAATAAATTTATTTTGCAAAACATATCATGGTACTCTTTATCCTGTATATTATTATAATTATAACATCATATATGTTTTTTAGATTTGACAAGATATCAAAATATTTTTAATTAATTAATTAATTAATATTATTTTACAACTAAAAAAATAAATAGTATTAAAAAAAAAAAGTTTTTGTAAATGTTTATGCGAGATGGAAACTTTTTGTCTTTTATACTCGTTTCGGCACAGATGAATCAAATTTGAGAAAATCATTCGTTCTTGACTAATGATAGGTTTAATTTATTGTACAAAATATACTTATGGATTATTCTTAAAATTAATCATCCGGTTATATAGAATATTGAAATTTATACCTAATGCTAAAACACACATCTATGTAGTTTTCTTTGTATTTAAACGACGATTAGAATACTTGGATTTCCATTTTTCATTCATGTATGGGATTCCGAATTGCAATGTGGAATATCCAATCAAGGCCGTTATTAGTATTGTCCAAAACACAACTACGTGTGTTGGTGCGGGATTTGGAAATTCCCCTCTACCAAATTTATAACATATCACAGTTTCTGTCATCACATTTGCTACTGTAAGCCACGCTTGTGGGCCAAATCTTTTGCATTTCCTAATTTTCAAAAAAAAGAAAAAGTATTAACAAACGTATAATAGAAATGTGTCACGGAAATTCTAATCAATTTGATTAATATTACTTGTCCGTGAGATATTGATAAGCTTCACGTGTTGCAGGAATAGAACACATGAAAAGTAAAAGAGCGCGA